TTCACCTTCCAGTTCTTCACCTATTTCTCCTCCCTGTTCTACGTCGCTTTTTTTCTCGGCAGGTAAGAACTAGTGAATTGAATTAGGCCTGTACAATAATTCAGTATTCACATTTTGGAACTTTTGATGTTACCCTTAAGGACCCCTGAATATTGTCCTTTTGAAAGAAACTCATATCTATATATATTTATAATAATAATGTGTTTTTGTTACACACACAAAAGGATAAATGGCCATCCTGGTAGTTATGTGCGAATTTCAGGAATATGGAGGCTCGAGGAGGTTAGTAACAAAACTCTTTATCCCATTCAGAAAAACATGATTTTTAAGTAATAGTTGATATTTCACATTTGAATGTTGTTCATTATTGTTGTCCTATCACTTCTTCTCTCCTGTGCAGTGTCATCCCAGTGGATGTCTAACAGATCTGTTTATCCAAATGGCTATTATAATGGTCCTTAAACAAACCATTAGCAATGTCTTTGAGTTCACTGGCCCGTAAGTATAAATCTGATTTTAGGCAAGGCAAGGCAAGTTTATTTATATAGCACCTTTCAACACAAGGCAATTCAAGGTGCTTTACAAAAATGAAAGACATTCAGACAAACGCATTTAAAAACAGTAACAGATAATAAAAGAAACATTAAAAGAAAAAATACATGAATAAAAATGTACAGTGCAGTTTAAGATATGAATAGTTCACACAGAAGTTCCACTTTACTGATGAACACAATGGCTCAGTTTCAATTAAAAGCAGCGACAAAAAGAAAAGTCTTCAGCCTGGATTTAAAAGTAGTAAGAGTTGCAGCGGACCTGCAGGTTTCTGGGAGTTTGTTCCAGATTTTAGATGATTTACTGTATAAAACTGTATTATTCACCCTTCTCAACTAGCTTTGTCTCTGTTCAGCTGGTTCTGCAGGTGGTTTAAGAAGAGGAGAACCAAGAAGCTGCAGAGGAAATGTGCCCACTGCTACCTGAAGGATGATTCAGAGGTCAACCATGGAGCGGAGCTGTGTGAAAACTGCAAGCTTCGAGACTGGCTCAGCAACTACCGCCTCAACGACGTGGACTCCTTCAGCCTGTTCCATGAGTTCCTGGAGATGGGTATGTACTGTAGTATGCATACAATTTTAACAACAAAAACAGGACCCATTGGACAAATGCTAGACTGGTTTTCGTTGATGATATTCTTCTCTGCCTTTCCTTAGTGATCCAGTTCAGCTTTACCACCATATTTGTGGCAGCGTTTCCTCTCGCCCCTCTGCTCGCCCTCATTAACAACATCATTGAGATCCGCCTGGACGCCATTAAAATGGTCACTCTGGAGCGCAGGCTGGTCCCCAAGAAAACCAACGATATTGGTGAGCACCACTTTCAAACTGGAAGTGTAAATGTTGTTGGCGTGTTAGGTGTTTTGTAGGTTGTAAACATTGTTTCAACTTTAGATGTGTTAGAAAGATAATTTTAAAATGCTTTCTGTTCAGTGTCTGTGCCTCTTAAGCTCCGCATTGCTTATCGGGGTGTCCCATTTCACACTTGTCTTATTATTTTACTTGTTTGTGAATAAAATGAATTCAATTAAAAAAAATAGATTACATTTTCATCACATCAACTTGTTCTTCCCTCAGGTGTGTGGATAGACGTGTTGGAGGCTATTGGTGTCTTAGCGGTCATTGCTAACGGGCTAGTCATCGGCGTGTCATCAGATTTCATCCCTCGATTGGTTTATCGTTACCGCTACGGCCCATGTGCTAACGGCACAGAAGCAGATATTGAGTAAGAGTACTTCTAGAACAATTTTTATTCTGTCAACTCATGCGACACACTTTAAATATATTCTCTCTATATTCGTTTTTTTCCAGCTGCATGTCCGGATACATCAACAACACTCTCTCCGTTGCACATTTAGATGATCTAAACTTACGCAATGAGTTTTCGGCCAGTCAGATGATCACTACTAGTGGCCTGAATGTAACTTCTTGCAGGTTTGTTATTCTTATATCTTTTTTGTTTTTATATAAAATCTCCCTTTTCTTTGGATATAAAAGCCTGCTATTCTTGTCTACTTCTCTCAAACAGGTATAAAGACTACAGGAGCAATGAGGACTACAATCTAACCCCACAGTTTTGGTTAATTTTAGCTGTGCGTTTCGCTTTTGTCATCCTGTTTGAGGTGAGATTTAACCATAACCAAAAACCCTAATCTCATCTTCCTACTTTGATTTCTTTGAGCAGTTTTTCTGTACAGTAGAAGCAACCATCCCAGCACACTGTGAATGTATTTTGATTGACAGTATCAATCTAGGCCAGGGCTGCCCAAAGTGGTCCCCTGGAGAGGCAGAGACAGTGGCACACAGACAAAAAGGGAACTTGGCATTCTTGTACCATTTTGCATCATAATGATACAAAACAATACAAAAGGTGGTTGCTTTTGGCTCGTGGCCCATTATAAAGTCTCAGCTTTGACACTCGAAGAAAAACATCTTTAGGCAACCATTATCTAGGCAATAACTAAATCCAGGTGTGTTATCTACAGTATAATGAAACCACATATTCATTGAGCGGAAAGATGATAACATTCCTAAAAACGTACTCTCTGCTTTCAGCACGTTGTCGTCATATGCAAGTTCATTGCAGCATGGTTTGTGCCGAGTGCTCCCTTGCAGGTGAAGAATGATCGGCTCTTTGATAAACTCAACAGACTGAAAGAGGAACTCAGGTGAGTCTTAAGCAATGTGAAGTTACACTGTAAAAAAATAGATATAAAGAATATTACATGAGCCTTTTAGGATTTTGTTTAAATATTCTCAACCTTTTTCTGTGGTGCCCTACCTACGCATTCACCAATCATAAACTAAATCCCTATTTGAGGGTAATACTGATCTTATTACGTTGGTTGAGTTGGTCCATGACGTAACACATCATAACTAGTTTTAACACACAAAAGACACAAGTTGCTCCCGCTTCATTTGCAGTAATCGCAGGAGAAGACAAAGGCTTTTTTGTATTTTTAATTTGCCTTTTGTGTATTGTGGATTAGCATCTCCACTGTACTTATTAAGCTAACAAAAGTCTGTCTATATATATATATATCTATTTATGTAGCTCAAATGAATCAGATTAAATAAATCAGGCTCACAAATGTTTTTCATTTTTTTCAACAGACATTCCAACTTATGGGAACCAGTGCATTAAAACATTTCTACCTGACACTTGAAACTTTTACCACCACATAAGCACTTGCATGTAACAGTGTTACGTCTTAAGAGTTTCTGAACTAAAAATAAATTGAGATAGATAGATATACTTACAGCCAGCATTACTCTACATTAATGCGTCATAAGAGGTATACATTACATTGACATAAATATTCCACTCAAATGTAATGGTTTATAATTTAACTGAACCCAAATATCCCAAATGATGACTTTAGTTATTTTGTAACTCTAATAATGTGTGCATTATATACTACTAGTATATATTAGACGTTTTTAAAGATTTGCTTTCCAGTGTTGTGACCACAATTATTTTTCTGCTGCAACTCACCAACCCTTGTTTTATTTCTCACAGTTCATTTCAAGCTCGACTTCGTTCAGACCACCCTTAAAGGTTACACATTTTCTCTGAGGACATGAGCACAGTGTTGCCATTAACAGTTGCCACACAGTAGGCTATTTTTATTATATGTACAGCACTTTGGCTCGACCAAAAATCATTTATAAATGTGCTATATAAATAAAACTTGATTTGATTTGATTAAAGTGTCCAGACTGTCACAGAATTGAGTCAATGCCAAAGGCATTATCATCTCTCTGAAGAGTTCAGAAGGAGGGCTCGCACTCTCTTTACATTTTTTGCAGCCAAATGTTAAGTGCTGCCTATCTGGATCCTCATCTCTGAAATGGACTTTGAAGACAGACTCATTTTTCTTGGATGAAACCAGTGGACAGTGTATACAATCTATGACAGTGACCAATTTTACTGATGATGAGATTGTTCTTATTGGATTGTATGAATGCACTGATAGCTTACTGTTGGATCTCTTTATTTGTGAGATGCATGTAAGTGTTTTTAGGAAAAGCCTAATGATAATGTATACTGCTATGGCACTACAGTACCGATTATGTGTTACATTGTTGCCTTATATTTTAAACAAGCGATGTGATGATTGCCTTTACTGCAGACAAATAATGGTGGTGTCTTTTGTGAAGCAGACACAAGAATGTTTTTGCATTATAATATTTTATATTATTGAATAAAAGAGAAAACCTTTGGCCTCATATTCTGTAATGTCTATCTATTTTTCAGCAAGATTCAAGTGTAAATACAGTATTATTTCCGTGATAGTTACAATCATGACAGGGTTGTCTTTGTGTCACGCCAAGGTTTCTTTTAAGGACGGATAGTAAGCCTTAGTTTCAATATCACACGATACAACCACATGTTTTTTTCCCAATAAATGTATTTCCGGGAATTTGAAAAATACCTTAAAAATGCAGGTTCACCATCAAATACATGGATCAATTGTGAAAACATTTTTGTTTATCACTCTACGACTACTATAAAGTCCCACAAGTTGTAACCTTATTAATGGTAAACAGAAATATTACTAATGCCTCATGGATATGTTATAACCAATAATAATGACATCATTTGGGTTGGGTCAATAATAATATTTTATAATAATATGGGAGCCAATCTTCATAATGAGTCATTTTTAATTTGTACTCCTCTGAGAAACGTTGCTGATAAATCTATAGTTTTCTTTAAAACAAAGTTTAAATTCAGGGCTTTAACATGTAATGAAGAATGTTCAGGCTGCTGTATTGTTACATTACTAAGGGTAAAGTTGTGAGTAACTTCCTTGAAAAACTGGAAACTGGGATAGACGTAGATCTACTTTTCAGAATGTCCTAATATTATCCATTCCCAGGTTTGTGTAAACCGGTGCACACGTCACATGACCAAGTTCAGCCAATAGCAAGTCGAGTTTGAGGTACCTTACCAGGTGCATGCATCAACTGGACGGCTGTTGTTAGTCACCTCTGTGACAACGTTACAAAACTGTATAAATCAACAGGTAGGCTACACTCATAGAGGTTTAGTTAATTCGCTTCAATCGGTTCACCTGTCCCCTCAGGAAGGAGGAAGACGAACACTGCGGCTCATGGCTCTGATTTTAGTCGCATGCATTGTGGCATTCTCCGGGAACACTTTACTGGCAGACGGTAAGGATGTAGCCTACACAATAAACTCTATTCTCTTGTTTAGATTTCACAGGTTTACACGATATTTAGAAATCTAGTTTGACTTATGACTTATAATGTATTGTTCCTGGTTTGTTTTTGTCTATTTAAAACGTACTGACAGCCATGTTTTCGGGATGCTGGCTAGGTAAATACCAGGTAATGCACATGTAGTTCGTGAGGGTCACTTTATCTGTCACAGTCACATGCTGTTGCCTGGCAACATAAGGTGACCCGGACTTCGGACCCGGATGTGGTCTCCTTTTATGAAAAACTGAGGAATAACTCGAAAGTTGGTTGGACAGAGAGGAAACAGGAAGGAAAGTTGTGCAAGTGTTTTGTGGTTTTAGTCATAGGCACGATGAGCGCATGCGCTGAATATCCTGAAGAACAGGTCCAGATTCAATAGAACAGTATATCTCATTGTCTGAGGTGTATTTTACATCTGTCCTGAAAAGGGAGCAGTTAGGCCTGATATTAACTTGTTGTTTGCTTGGAACATGTCCTCAAACAGAAAAGGGTATTCAGTGATATTCTCTTTTCATCTAAGTCAGCAAAACAGCCATTAGAGTCTGATAGGTTGACAAAAAGTGTAAACAGGTTCACCTTCATGCACCATTAGACATTCAGTCATTGCTGAAAGCTGCCCTAACACTGAACTCAGCCTCATGAAGCTGCACAGGCTGTATGCAAACTGTTTACACAGACACACGGTAGTCAAAGTGTTTTCTCAAAAGGCTTATTGTTTGATCACACAACATAGAGTAGAGATGAATTCAAACCTTTTTATGCCTTGACCCGATATGACCGACACACACAGTTGTATTCATTCATGTCGTGATTATAATTCAGGAAATCTCATGGCGAATAGTTCAATAGCAATTTGTAATCTGCAATTTTCTCATATTAAAGTGAACATTTTAATATTTCTTTCAATGATAATAACATTGATGATTAGATTCAAAAATGATAATTTCCTCCAATAGGTTAAAGGTTAACGGGTACACATGTTCACTTATAGTACAGTACAACACACGCTGTAACATTTAGCCTATTGTATTTCTTTTTTTTGACACACATATATGTATAGTTTACTTCATCTGCATTACTTGCACATTGGTCTTGCAAGATACAGTAATCTTGCACTCAGTTATTCTACTCTGTTTCTTCTTGCACTATTTTATTGTTTTTAAATCAGTGTTATTGTTTTATGACTTATATATATTTATGTTGCATTGTTGGAGGAGCCTGGGTCCTAAGATTTTCATCGCCACATCTACACTGTAGCTACTGTGTAAATGACAATTAAGCCTTTATATCTTTGAATCTTTGAATCTTTGAATCTTGAATCTTTAAATAGTATCACATTTGCAATATCAGTCAAAAATAATCACAATTAGATATTAGTTGAAATAGTTTTGACCTAATTGAGATATAACAATCAGTTTTGGGATGGATAAAATTGACTTGTTGCATCTCTAATGTGTGTCTCTATCTGTAGCTCAGACGTGTGTCGATGGGAGCGTGTTTAAGGAGCAGGTGCTCTATGTGGGGCAGCAGGAGCCCCCATACCGGCTGACCTGCCCTCTGGAGCCCCAGAGCCCCCCCCTGCCCCACCTGACCTGGCAGAAAGACTGCCAGCCGCGGCCCTCCATGGAAGGGAAGGCCTACCTGGAGTTTGCCAACTTCAGCTTGGCAGACCAGGGGAATTACACCTGTATGCAGCAGGGCAACAGCTCATCCTCATTCACTACGCACCTCATAGTTAAGGGTAAGTACTACGTCTATGTTAAGTGTAATGGAGGCTATTTGAACAGGATACTGTAATTATGTGGCTCTCACAGTAAGCTATTTCTTGCAGGGTTGGGAGGCAACAGACCACATATATAACTTTCCAAAAAATCTGTTAGAATCTCTCCTCAGCCCAGATTATATTTGTATTGGACATGTTTTAAAAGTGCTTTCTATATTTGATTTTAAAGTATAGAAAGGTGTTCAAATCAAATGTCCTTTTCTTCTTGTAAAACAATTGATTATGTAGCTAATTAAGACACTACCTGTCCAATTTGAATGCAGTAAATAATTGCATTTTAAAGTAATCTCCCCCAACGTTGATCTTTTTATCCCTGAACCAGACATAACGTGTGTGTGGGGGTTTAGGGAGCTAGTTGAGCGAGTACACCTACAAGAAGGCATTTAGTTTCAGCTCGTCTTCCAGCTGCAGTCTCAGCCTGTGCACATAAAAGACGCTATTGTCTGCGTTTCCTACAGCGAACACAGATACCGCAGGACCTTCCTCCCTGCAGCGGTCAGACTATACAACCAGCACAGGCCCTAGTAGACCCCCCCCCCACACACACACACAACAACACAGACTATAACACCCCCAATATGTGCTATATGTGCAATATATACCTGGCTGCTCAATCCTAAGAACTGTTACAGGATGTGTATTTTGTCATTTGTGTATCTTTTAATTTGTTGTATTATATTTCTTATTATATTATAACTTCTTTTTTTTACTTTAATACTTTTTAATGCATGTAACATATGTAACATTAAGCTGTCTATGGCTCTTTTTCTGCTGTAACAATGTACATTTCCCCTCTGTGGGACTAATAAAGGTATTCTGATTCTGATAACAGTGGTTTGTCTTTTCTCAGAGTCACGGTGCTCCAAAGACCCAGAATTTAAGCGAAATGAAGACAGACACCGTGGAAATATAGGATCCACTGTGACACTGAACTGCACGGCTCTTCTCTTCTGGGATCCCACGGAGGAGCACTGTGACACCACGCTGCAGTGGAGTAAAGATCACTTTCCCCTCCCCAATCACATACATTACGCGCTGAATGCCTCCTCATGGTGATTTGAAGTTTTCTAAAGCCAGGTTCAAGCATCTTCATAAAAAAAGCATTTGAGAGTGGAAGTAAGATTGAGTTTCCTTTCCATCTCATCAGGTCTCCTGCAGCCGGCCAGCTGATGGTAACCAGTCTGCTGGAGATCAACCTGAAGGAGCAGGATGATTTCGGGCTGTACATCTGCACAGTGAGGAACTATTCCTCTCTATTCAGAGTTTCAGAAGAGTGTAAGAAAACTACTTATTTATGTTGGTTTCTTACAATCCGTCCTGCATCTTTAGATACACTCTTTAGATCAAATGAACTTCAATGTTCTGCAGGAAAATGTGTCTTGGTTTCAGCCCTACATTAATATTGAGTCTAGTACTTAATTGTTTTAGGAATCAGTCTTACAGTCACACTCCACTGACGGAATTCATATTCTGCAGTTTGCGATGATCAATTTGAATGAAAGTATTGGTTTATTGTGATTTTTCCATAGGGATTTCATGCGGTGGACCCCACGGCCCCAACCACATATTTTCTGTTTTGGCAGCCATCGTCCTCCTCCTGCTCCTGGCTGTCGCTGCTGTTGTGTATTCCAGGTGTCACTTGAACATCAAAATCTGGTACAAGAATTCCTACGGAGACTATGAACTCAGTGGTAAGTGACATAATGTTGCTATAACCATGTGAGACTGTGAGAATATAAAGTATCAACATCATTTTTTTTTTTTTTTGTGTCTCTTCAGATGGCAAATTATTTGATGCTTACATCTCCTATGTGAACAATGACCACGACAGGAAGTTTGTCAACTTCATTCTTAAACCTCACCTGGAGAAAAGAAATGTGTACAAAGTGCACATCAATGACAACGCTATCTTACCTGGCTCAGGTAAGCCTAATGTCTGTTGTTGTTGTGGAATGAATGGGAGAGTGGGAAATGTGGACTCTATTTTTAACTAGTTTTTGTTCTCTTAACAGTCCAGAATGTTCAGATCCTTCTGAACCCGTTGCTACGAGTTATTCTGGGGGCCCTTTCACCCAATATGCCCTTGAGTAAGGCACCGGACTACCCCCTTCCCCCCCCACTCCCATTGCTCCCCGGGCGCTGTACAATAGCTGCCCACTGCTCCTCGTACTAGACTCCTGGTACTCGGATGGGTTAAATGCAGAGGCCAAATGTCACTGTGTGCTGTGCTGCATGTGTGACCATTAAAGAGGGGTTTCATCCCTCTGATTCTATTCTATTCTATTATGTGTTGCAATTGCAACCATGAGACCATTTTCTCATATTAATCTAAATAATCTAAAAACAACAAATGCCATAACAATTTGTAAACAACAATGATTTGTCTGATTATTTGTTATCTGTGTGTAAGCTCTTTTTTTCTTTAGTAACACATTCCTTGGTAACACATTTGAACCTAAAGCAGCCCATTTTTAACAACGCTCTACAATATTTTGTGTCTCCAGAACCGTCTGCAGAGCTGCTGATGAACTTGAGTCGCTCTCGGCGTCTGATCGTGTTGCTCTCTCATGCTTACCTCGAGCAGGACTGGTGCTGCAATAACTTCAGGTCAGATGAATTCAATGTTGAACTAACACTGTTCAAACAACCAATAATATATACAGAATAAAGCTTAGTAAAATGAGTGTGGCATCATCACAATATACCACTTGAGGTCAGTGTTGCTGTCTCCACTATGTCCTATCCTGACACGGTGTGTGTGTTTTCAGACAGGGTCTTCTGCACCTGTTGGAGTTGTGTCCGCAGCCCATCCTCATCCTGTTGGAGGGTCAGTCCAAACGCATGAGGCCTGAGATCAAGCAGCTGCTCAATGATCACCAGCACTGCCTCACCGTCCTCACCTGGAAGCACAACTCTGTGGTAAGACCCACAAGAGTACCTAGCAGAGCGATCAATTACCACCACAATACTATAGGATTTACTTTAAACATAATTATGTTGAACGTTTTACAAAAATAATAGAGATACATTATATTTTAGCTAAAATTTAAGCCAACATTCATCGAAAATGTATATATTATTGTGTTAATTACATATATACATACATACAGTATGTGAAAAGTGTATATCATGTCTCAATCTCTCTAACACTGACAGCAATATGAGTACAAGAGAAAAAACCTCTTTAATTATATTTGTGTTCTACTCTTTACCGGCCATTTACATCTACGCAATTATAGATATTTTTAATTTTGAGATGTGATTCATTGTAATAAAATAAATAAACATCTGAATTTAAATTAGAAATGTATTGCATATACTATATATAATGGAATAGGGCTTCTACAGGTGAGACTACAGTTCAGTTTGACTCTTAACAGCGCAGTGTAACGTGTCATGTTTGGTTTCCACAGACTCCTTCCTCCGTCTTCTGGAAGGAGCTGGCCTTAGCGATGCCTCGTAGAGTCGTCTTCCGCAGCTCGTCTGCCTGCGAACCGCAGACTTTGCTACACAATGACAAGGACCCCATGCTGACCCTCGACTCCAACTACCGAGACTCCAATTCAGACACTGACCCTGCCGGAGATCTGGGTAAGAACAACAGTCACTAAGTAGTAATGTTTGGAATAGTCTTACCTCTATCTGCACATAAAAGTAAAATAAATGCACAGACAAGTGCCAGGTGATTGTTGTAATTAAAAATTCAATACATTTGAGGGACTGCGGATGGAAATTTGCTCAAAGCTAAATCTGGCACTGTTAAGCTTGACACATTTTAATGTTTTAAGTATTCATTACTGTGCATTGTCCCTGCCAAATAAACGATTAAATGACATAGACAACATGCTAAAGCAGGTTTATTCGTGTTTAACAACCATCTGGTAGTGATCCAGAGATGTTAACGCTAGTTGGTCATGTACTTTTTCTTGAATAGCAATTCAAATATCGAACGTAATGGCCTATATTCAAGTCTCAACCTGACAGAGTCTCTTTTGTCTTTTTCAACGTGCAATACAAGCTGACCTAGTTAAACTTTGAATAATCAAACACAGGTTCAACGGCTAATCTTTAACTAAAATAAACAAAATCCTTCGACATGATAAGCTTGCACATATTCTCTTTAACAGTTTGTCTGTCCTGTATCATATCAAGACATTCCAAGCCGATATGAGACAAATGCTTTCATGTCAAAGGAATAGCTCAGTATTAGCATAGTTGCCGAGATTCTTGATGAATAGATTAGTTCAACTTTATACTTTACCTACATGTGAAACTGCAGTCAGTTATCTTAGCACATTAACTGGAAACAGGGTCAAATACCTAGCCTATCTCTGTCTGAAGCTCACAAATCTACACCCAATACCTTTTCTTTCTTAATTGTTTTAAAAACACAATGGTTTAGACTAAAGGTTGTCTCAAGGTGACTAAAACATTTAAAAAAAGCTTCTCAATAACTATTAGTCAGTCACCAAACCCCATGTATACTACAACCTGACGTTTTTGCACTGCTGGAGATGCTAGTAGATACATTTCGTTATCTTTGTGCATAGCCAGGCTAGCTATTTCCCTGCTAAGCTAAATTAACAGCAGTTGTTGATTCACAATGAATCAACCAATGTGAAACTGATATCAATAATGTTATCTTCCTCTTGGCAAGAAAGCAAAAATGTCACCAGATGTTAAACTACGCGTTTGATGTCTTAAAACAAAAGAATGAAACAGCCCTAACATTACAGCATTTCCGCAAACATGTACTTTGCATTAGCATGTCTCACTCTTGTCTTCCTGCTGCAGGCCTTCGCCCCCCCCTATACAAGGCTCTGGCCTCTAAAGCTCCCGTCCTGCTCGTCGCTCACATCCCGTCCGCCGAGCCCAGACCCATGGACATCGACGTGTCGGACCTGGGATCACGCAACTATGGAGCGCGCTCAGACTTCTACTGCCTGGTCACTGAAGATGACATCTGATCGAAACCCCCCCACTGATCTCTTAAAAACGACTCTTCTGATGCATTGCTTTATTGTTACCTAAGTCAATATGGGAAATATGTGTGTCTTTTACAGTGTTGTGTTAAATCAAATGGTTAACTTCTTTTACCTTGTTTTTTCTATTCACCAAAGATTGATTTTTACATTTTTATATATTTTTGTTTACTGTTGTAAAATATCTAATGAGAAATTGTACAAGTTATTATCTGCTGTATTTGTGTGAATCTTGGAAAGAACTGTCATTTCACTGCTTTGATCTCTCATGAAGTCCCCAGCAGAGGGAAGAGTGCTGTCAGATAGATTACATTACATTGCATTTAGCTGACGCTTTTATCCAAAGCGACTTACAATAAGTGCGTTCGACCAACAAAATACAAACTTGAAGAAAACAGAATCATATAAGTACATCAGGCTTCATAGAGCAAAAACATTTCAAGTGCTACTCAACTGGCTTTAGATAAGCCAGCCCTTTATTAGTATATAAATGCTTTGTTAATATAGATTGAAGGGATTCAGCTTTTCAAGCAGTATTTCAAAATATGACAGCTGACGGATTGGGAAAGAGAAACAATAAATGTAACAGTCTTAAATTATAACTCCGGACATCTGTTTGTGCACGTGAGGCAGGGCAAGGTTCATGACCGATGAACTCGTAACATTTTTGTACATATGGGTGCTTTGTGTTTAATGTAAAAACACTAACAACGCAGCAATAATGCTAATAAAGCAGTTTGACAAAAATACCTGGCTATTTCTCTCTTTTGGGATCATGATCTGTCTTCATGGGGTGATGATAGCAGTACCTGCAGTGAAATGAGAGCCTGAATAAGGGTGCAGCAGGGCAGGTCTGGTGTTGTTCTTGTCTGAGCAGGAGCAAATATGTAAACAGGGAGTGGCGAGCATTTCATCGTGATAGTGTCCCTTTATTACAGTCACAGCGAGTGTGCAGCACACACACAAATAAGACACTTAATAAATGACATTTCAAATCGGTCCCTTTATTAGATGACAAATATCAGGATACATCTGCCTGTACACAACAAAAGCAAATCTTAAAGCAGTTAGAAGTCCTACAAAATAAAAGAGAAACCATTTATGCCAGAGCAATAAATATTATTAAAAATGTAAGTTTTGAACAAAAATCTTTGTATGAACAATTACACATTTAATTAGAATATCCTACTTGCCAATTTATGAGTTTCAATGAGGTCTGGGGTCCGTGTTAGATTTTGCTATAACACCTCAAAAACAAAACATCAACATATGATATATGTTTTTGAAATAAAGTGAGCACTGTATTCTTTGTACACTCACACCACTTAAAGTACGCAAACAGCAGGTTTAATGGGCTACTGAAGAAACAAACAGACATAATGAAAGTATGCATGTTTGACAAAACAACTACAAATGTATGACACGACTGCGATTTTGCAATTTTGAAAAGCATAGAACTAAACACAAAAGTCAACTTTGGAGATACATTCATTATTCCTATTCCCTTTTTTTATTAAACAAATGGTACAATCAATAACATAAAATGCAACACAGTACAAAAACAGCACAAAACTAAAGAAAGAAACAAAACCCAGGAAAATCCGTCTGAAGGATGTCCGGCAGCGCTGTCCTCAGGAAGGATAAAGCATATTTCTTCTCAGAATGCTCCGGGAATCCATAGATGCGTAGATTCACCCGCCTATCCCTATCCTCGTATTCCACTAGTTTAGCATTCAGCGTTTCTACCTCCGAAGCCAGGGCTGGCGGAGAATTGCGGCGCCGGTCTTCTGTGTCTTCCAGCATATCCAGCCGGGCCTCAGCACTGGTAATTCGGGTAAACACGTCAGCTAGCTTCTCCTCAACAGCAACAACGGCTCTCCGCGTTTCTGATAGCTCTTTCCGAAGGTCAGTAAAGTGATTTGTTTGGTCTTCAGATAGCTTTTGAAGAAGCTCAAGAATCGCGGTGTTGGTAGGCTCAGTAGCAGCTGAGTTCAATACCTACACGTCCGGTGAGACATTCGCAGGCTTCGGGCTAGCATTAGCCTTGAGAACCAGGTGTTGTTGAGTTGCATTAATTACGGTTTTCGGAGTTTTTTTTACTATTCGGCATGTTTAATGTAACAGATGACTATTGGGACTAATAACTCGTGATTGAGATAAAAAGTATCACTGATAGTGGGATATTTAAGCAAAAATAAATGGTGATGGCGCCGGAGCCACGAACTTAAGCAGCCATCTTCCTCGACGTCCACTCCTCTCAATCCAATTATAATCATGTTATAATATGGACTCATTTATAAACACATTTATCCATCCTTAAACTACAAGAACTAAGTACATAGTGTAGGTGCAAAGTATAAAACATTTGATTTCTTTGTAAAAGAAGAAGCAATATTTACAAGAACAGCATGTTTGTACCACACTTCAATCCATTCATTCTGTGCTGTTCTGTGCATCAACAGTTGTCATCCGCAACAAACAAAAAAACAGCTGAAATTATATCTGAATAAATGCTGCTCTGATAACAAATAAATCCCTGATTCCACACTAAAACATACAGTGTTTAAACAAAAAGAGTAAATGGTTAAGGTGTACACATTTGTGTCCATCAGTAGTCGTGCCGGATCCAACATTCTTGAACGGTCTGTAGAGTAAAAACAAATACACAGGAAGTTGTTTTCCTCTGTGTCGATCCTCCCTCACTTGTGTGTCCATGTTCTCATCCTAAAAAAGTATCTTTGAATAGTACAAACAGTCTCTTTGCTCCACTGGGGGCTGGTCGAGAGCAGGCCTCTTCACCACTGCCTTTTGTTTTAGATCATCATATCTACAAAATCTTGTCTCCCATACCCTTTCTGTAACACAGAGAAACAAACAAGGCAATGTTATAACGAATACATAAACAAATATTGTGTTTATTTACATTATAGAACGTATTCAAATACCACACAGTACACCTCTGTAACAGCTCCCTTGATTTTTAGAATTTACCTGAAGTTAAAACCCTACTTTAACATGTGTTAGCTGTAATTTGGCCCTTCATAGTGTTTATTCGACAGTCTACAGATTCGTATTTTCCATGGTCAACTTGTATTTTAATTTTTAGTTCCGTTTAATTTCTATTTTGAGTTGTTTGTTTACTACTATTTATAGATTTTTACAAATTATGAGCAATGCCTTGTTGCCGTTACAATTCAGGATCAATAAAGTACATCGTACCGTATCTTAGCATAAGTTACCTCAGAACTCACGTTATAGCACGATAGTCAAATAGTCTGATGTTTGCCTACGTACAAGACAAGCTTTAATGCATTTTTGGTTCTGTTGGGACCTGTTTGTTAGGAAATAACTCTGCACACCGCACCCTTTGGGAGGGGCAAGTCGGAATCTGCAAAAGTCAGAACATGTAGGGCACCTGGTCCTGCCCAAGACGTGGACACGCCCGAGTGGATGTGTGTGTGTCGGTGTTGAAAAAGAAGCAGTGTGAACAGCCAGAGAGACACACACACACAGAAATGAGAATGAGGGTGTGGTTCAGTGACTATTGTTTGGCAGTTGACAAACATAATCTGACCTCTTGTTACTTCATTATATGTATTAATGTTTAAAATCTTGTTGTGTGATTTGATTGTTTTTGTGGCATCTGAATGGATTTGAATAACACTTAAAAACTCTGTCTAAACTCGTAATAGACTGTTAGAAAAAAATCATAACTGATGCATTATCTCTAATATGTTATTGATTATCCCTCTCAGTTTTTTGGAGGGGAAATCATTAATCATGCAGAGCTCGTGTTTACTATCTTACCTCTTTGTAGCTTCTGTGCAGTTTCTTGTACTGGAACATGTTGCTGAGAACTGTTGATGCTGCTTTGGCTGCTTTCATCCTCCCCGTGCTAGGAACAAAAAGATTTATCCAAGGTTAACACTTGGTACAAATAACTTTATGTGAAAAGATAGGCTGAAATATTTCCTCAACATGCAAATGTCATGCGGATGGAGAAATGTCAGGGTGAGAACACATTTATTCAATACAGCATGTTTATGCCACATTACAAAGTCTTACCTGCAGGTGCCCGTCATGGTCTTGATGCTGATCAGTTTTGGCAGGCCGTCAAAGTATGCGATGTCTCTGGCAGCTACAGAGCTGCTGGTCACCAAATTATTGAGAACTCCACAGATGTTCACCACCACATCGCTAGAGGGGTCCTTCTGGCTCCCATCGTCAGGCAGCTTGGCCACCAAGTTGTTCACCACCTTTGAGGCTGGATAAACCAATAAGTAATGTTAAGATTATTCGTTGGAAACCTATATTTACAATCAACTTCCTGTTAAGGACTCACACTTTTCTTCTAATGTTCAAGAGTTTGGTTAAAAATGGTAAATTGTTATTTTTTTAAATGTGGGCTTTTTCAATAACTTAAGAAAAAAACTGACCCATGTCATTCTTATCCCTGGCATGGCGGGACAGATTTCGTAAGAAGCCTGTGAGGGATCGCAGCTCCAGGTCATTGCTGGTCTGCATGCGGTTCTGCACCTGCGGCAGGATGCGCTCCTGCTCCAGAGCCACCAGGCTCAGCACTGACGCCCACTGCGGGACAAAGAGGGAGAGACAGTTTAAATATGATGTAGATTGTTGCATTTGAATATGGCAAGATGAATATGCTTCTCACCCTGTTGTCTCCAGCGGTGATGTTCTGAAGAGCTCCAGCAGCCGCCTCGCGGGTGGTAGAGTTGATCTCGCAGTCTTGCAGCACACGGTTATAAACGCTCACAATCTGTGGATGCCACAGCCACTCGGGGCCTTTTGGCACCCGGGCCACCTCGGTGAAAGTGGAGATGTCCTGGTTCTTTCTCTGTGGGGAACATTTGAATTGACCAATTAGTAAAATTGGTATTCTCTACAAAGAATCATGCCATAGCACCACTTTAAATGTTGTGTTGACCAAAAATGTGCTTATAAGTAAGGATTGGAAATAATGAGTTCACCATGAAAAAGGTACAACCTATTAGTTGACTACAAAGGAGCAGCCCTAACATGCACACAAAATGCTGATGGGTAAATCTCACGTGTGCGTACATTTTTGGCTTTCCGTCCCTGAGGTGTATAGCAACCAATGGCGTCGCCCTTTCCTGAGTCCTGAGCTCTATTTGGTCCTTCCAGGCGAATCAGAGTAGATGGAGGCATCTCGCCGTACAGCTGGTAGGAGAGGTTCCTCAAGACACACATTGCATTTTCCACCCCCTAAGAACACACAGACAAATAAATACACAATCCTTGGGTTGAACCAAAAAAACAGATTGAATTCAGCTCCATCTCGTTTGATCTCACCTTGTCTTCTGCCTTGCCGTCGTCGAGGGAGTTCTTGATGTAGCAGACCAAAGAGTCCACCAGTCCGGATTGTTCTCTCATCTGCTGACGGGTCTTCTTGTTCACAGAGCTCATATTCCTGAGCAAAGAGAGGGGTCAGAGAGATATTTTAGGTAAAATCCAGAAATCATGCATCATATTATTTTTAACAAACTGGGCTGGTATAAATCAAATATCACAATATTTTCTACAAAACATTATATTGATATTTTGAAAATATTGTTGGCTTTACTATTAATGATCTGATGAAAATATTAACAGAAATGTTGTTTTGATAATCAATCATTAGTATTGTTAACTTAAAGCCTTGAAGCCAGTGAGTTGGCGTGTACTACCAGAACAAGTTCCCATATAGAAAATGTGATCATGGGAAGGAAATCAAACCCAGGTGAGCCAGGAAGAAATACATCTTAATCAAAGGGGCATGCTGCTACCACACAGAGAAGACACAAATAGGTGAGGTGTACCTGAGGCCTCCTGTGGTGTTGTAGAAGATGTCTGCCTCAGAGGCCGTCTGCTGGTAGCCATCAGTGTCTTTGCCTGACATAGGGATGAGGATGTACTCCGTCAGCTCTGGGAGGGTCTCCTTGGCCAGTTTCTCCTTCAGGTTGTCTTTGGAGGAAAGGTTCCACAAGATACCTGCATACACACGAGAGGAGAGTCAACAAAACAGACTTTTATGCTTTATTTTACATATTAATTTGTGTTTTACTTCTCAACCTGGATGTGAGGATATTTTCACTTTAATCTTGGAGTTTTTCATGCTTCACCCTAACCTTATTTTAAATAAACAGTTCAACATTTGGGAAGGCAGATTAGTCACTTTCTTACTTAGAGCTGGATGAAAAGCTCGGTACCACTGTTATAGCTGTTTGTTCAGTATTTACCTAGCAGTTTGTTAGCTTAGCTTAGTAAGAAGACTGGGGGGGAAACAACTAGCCTGGTTACAAAAAACATCTACCAGCAACTATACAACCTACAATGTGTGTAATGTGTACAAAAGCTATTGGTCAAAAACAGGTGTGAGTTTGGTACTGTTTGATTGTACCAGGCTAAGTGTTTCCCCTGTGTTAAGTTTAAGCTAAGCTAACCACCTGCTGGCTGAATCTTCATATGTACAGTAGGGCTGCTCGATTGTGGCAAAAATCATAATGTCAATTATTTGGGTCAATAATTGATATCACGATTATTAAAAACGATTATCCATATACTTTGAAAACATCCATTGATTGAAAAAACTGTTGAATACCCTGAACTTTAAGTATAATTCAATAAAATAATAATAATAGTTTTATTTTGATTATGTTGTTTTCATAATCGTTGCAAGCCAAAATCGTAATTGCGATTAAAATACGATTAATTGAGCAGCCCTAATGTACAGTGACATATAGACATTAGAAGTCAAACGTGGACATATCAAATCCTTTCAGAGTCTATATGAGAAACTCAGTGAAGTCACAGTGAAGTCACAGTGAAGTGACAGTGAAGCTAAGACATTAGTTGGTATTATAAGAAAATACCTCTGTGACATTTGGCAAAACTACAGAAAAAAGGTGCACAGGTACAGTTGCTCTGACATTTATCACATTCTCACAGAAACTAGGGATTAAGCGCCCCATCAGATACACATCAAGGTGTAACGGCTCAAAGGGCTGACAAGGCCATCAGTCATAAAAGGGAGCGGCAGGTATACAGTACTGTTAGACCACAGGCGCAGACAACTCCCTCATATATATAATCCCTCTCTTCAAACTCCATATAGAAAACCTGCAGCTCCACCTCCTTTTCTTTATGCCTTCAGACACACAACATGTCAGGCAACAATCTCTACACTGTGAAGTTGGAGTTGTAAAATCCATTTCCAACAGTCTTCATTTAAAGAGCGAATTACTGCCAGTTCTGCTGACAACAGATAATTGCAATAATGTCAGCGACTGAAGTTGTTGGAATGTACAAGTGCTGAGGGGTGGGGAGATGAGTCAACTGCAAACAAGAGTTATTCAGCCGTGAACTGTAAACACACATAAGAACTGAGAATAATCAACAGTCTAAAAATCAAATCTCCTCTATCTATCTTAAAATATGAAAGTAACTATAATTAGTTTAATTAAATGCTCACAATTGGTTGATTCTGACAATAGTTTCTAGTTACAGCTTGCCTCCTGTTTGTTTGGTGCGGAATAATGTAATGTTCAGGTATTGTAAGGACACCACTGTTAATATCATGTTGTATTAAAAAACTATGATAACATAATTTGCACAAGTTCTACTTGAGGCTAAAGTCCCAGCTCAGCTCTGCTGTTGTATCATGTTTTTTATGTTAATGACTGCCGTCAAGTTTTTCCTACCAGTGATGTTTTTGTGGAGCTCATCGTCTTTTTCCTTCAGTGCTTCGACCAGCTGTGGGATGCCGCCCTCCTCGATCAGGGCCACCTTGTTGTCCATATTCTCATAGATGAGGTTGCGTGTTGCACCGGTGGCATAACGCTGCACTTCCTGGTTTTCGGAGTTGAAGAGCTTCACTAGCTCACTGATTCCCTTCAAATGACGCACCTAGAGACGGGGTGGCAGGGAAATAAATCGTCAGCTTAGGATATTTCATGTTTTTCATTCCATTTTACCCCATAGTTAGGCGATCTAGGTTAGATCTAGGTCGTGGATTAAAGCCCCTATGTTCCTGTATGTTTGTTGAAAAAATGATGGCACTAGGATTTGCCAAGTTCTGTAATAGGTTTAGACAAATTGTTCAATTGTTCCAAAAGATATGCATGCTTTTGCTTTCTACCTGAGAGTTAGTTGAGAAAGATATTACACTGTATATTTTATTAACTTGAGACAAAGCCATGCTAGCTATTTCCCTCTGTTTTTGGTCTAAATATTAAGCTAAGCTTTACAAACATGCAAGTAACTATTTGTAAACAAGTTGTTACAGCGCATGCCACATACCACAATAATTTTCCAACATTGGGACCTTTGTTGCATGTCGTACCCCTTTCTGTTCTATAACACATCTTTCTTTCCTTTTAATACAAAAGCATCTGGATTTATTTTTTAAATAGTAAGAGTGTTAATCCCTTCTGCAGTGTATGTGACAGTGATAATAAAAATGGACCAACATGTGAAACAAAGGCATAGCTACTTTATGACAAAAGAAATGAAAAACCCAGAGCTATAACCACAAGTTTAACTACCTCATTTTTGGCATCGTTGTCACTGTAACACTCATGTTGAATGTAGGCGGCACCCAGGACCTGCAGGTCATGGTCCTCCTCTCTCAGGTTTTGCACTGCTGAGGGCATGTCCAAGGAGTTGATCCTAGTGAGGGAGCGAAAACACAAGTTCAACAAAATAATCTAAAACATTATAATGACCCCATTATGCTGTTTTCTCTCCCCTCACTAGGATCAACTCCTTGGACACATGTATGGAGGCACAAAATACGTCAGCAATAGTAATTATTTATGGATGATTTATTTGTTGCATGCAAAATCCAGCTTCTGGTATTTTTTCCAAATCACACAGTGGTCTGCAAATCTGCTCTGGAAACCACACGCTGGGTTGTGTGAAATGTGAGGCCTGAAACTGAGCTGCCACACTCAAAACCAGTCCTGCAACTACGGAGCCTCCTCCCAATCCACAGCTCTTGTGAAATACTACGCTCACATCACACACTCCCTGACTTAAAGCTCCAGGCACATGGAGGTTGTGACATTTGCTATCATATCATTAATGTCAGAGAAAAAGTCAGTATTTACAGCAGCAGGAAAATGCACGAGGGACTGCATCAAGAGAAACTGCAGTTCTCCAGTTCATCTAACCTAGGGACATGTCATTGTGTGCAAAAGTGTGCCTTGCTGATATGTTTTTAGATGTTATATTAAGAAGTGTTTGGACAATGGAAGCATGAAGGCTCTCTTTAGCAGGGGGGATTGAGCTACTGTATATCAGGCTTTTCTTTGACAAAATAATTCAGGATCAATTGATCAATTACTGGATTTCTTAGGATTTGTTGACAAAAGGAAAAAGACTACTCAATATCTACACACAAGTTACCCTCTAAAGATCTGTCAGTAATACAGTATGAAAACAAACAAATGAGCCATCATTGTTTTAAAAGTGAAAAAGGTGGGGACTTGGGGCACAATGGGATGTAATGTAAGCTTCTCACCCGCTGAGGTTTCCCATGCTGGCTCCCATATCCATCTGCCCGAAGACGTCCATGCCCCTGCCCACACTGTGCATGCTTTTGATTGACTGGGCACGAGATATAGTGCCCTGACGCTGGGCCATTCCATATCCATCCATTCTGTCCCCCCCACTACTATACACACTCCCACTGGACACGATCTGCTGCCCAGGCAAGGAGCCGGTGCTCATCCGGTTTCTGTTTGTAATCCTGTTGATGGTGCGGTGGGCCGGGCCTTTGTAGGAGTGCTGCTGTGTGACCGCCATCTCTCCTTCTGTCATTTCTCCGTTGCGGGTAAGAGTGCCACCAAGAGATTGGCGCATGGGAGAGGTAAAGGTCATGGAGCCTCCTCCTTGCCTGACCTGGGTGGCGTAGCCGTTGACTGCGCTTTGTGCATACTGGCGGCCATAGGTGCCGTCACGCTCAGAGACCAAGCTGTAGGCATCGCTCACATCAGCCCACCCGGGATTCACCTGCGCCGTGTGCTGCCGCACTGCGTTCATGGAGAGGGTATCTGGGTCCACGTGTCTTGTTTGCATGACGGCCGTTTGGTAGCCGCCACCTTGGTAGCCGCCACTTTGTAAGCCGCCAATTTGCATGCCGCCAGTTTGCATGCCGCCACTTTGGTATCCCCCACTTTGGTATCCCCCACTTTGGTATCCTCCACTTTGGTATCCTCCACTTTGGTATCCCGCACTTTGGTGTCCGCCACTTTGGTGTCCGCCACTTTGGTAGTAAACCCCACCGTTCCCACCACCACCTCCCATTCCCCCAACACTGATCCTGTGCAGTGTGGCCAAGTCTGCACCAGCAGATCGGGCACTGAAACCCGTCTTCTGGGAGATGCGTGGACCCTGAGGATGAGGGAAGGAGTGACGATCACAATCAAATGTGTAACCAGAGCTACTCATTAAGCTCTAGTGAACTGTGTGTGTGTGGGTGACTTTGTTGGTGACAGAAATGGTTTCTCAATCCGATCACAGCAATTCCACTATCTTGCAGGTCAGCCCTAAGACTGTTTTGTCATTTTAGTTTCCTTTCCTCATACAACAAATTATTTAGTTTAATATGCAACTTCAGGTTTCTCTTGGGCAAAGAGCTCAAATATCTGTGGCCCAAATCCAGCATCTTCCTGTTGAATCACTAAACTGGAGGAATCTAGAGGGTAGACTTGAAAACCTGAGGTGATCTCATTACAGCGTACTGTGAAATACCACACATGCTGTGTCCTGGGTGACCCGCTCAAACACTGGCAGAGAGTCAGTGATGTGTTTGTTTTATTAAAACACCTAGTTAAATGACATATTACACGATCAGCTGAATATTTGTATAGAAAGTGTGAATACACGCTTAAAGAGTGAGATAATGCAGTAGTACTCACCATTGTTTTGGAGCCTGCGTACATGTAGGATGACTTGGAGCTGTAGTTTGGAGTGTTGGTCTGATGTTTCAATGTTGAAGCCCCACCGTAGTCTGGAAGGAAGCAGAGAGAAAGAATAACAGATGAATACATTAACACGATCACATTGATTTCAGTGATAGGCTTTACTGAAAGACTAGCTGGTTTAAATGACAAAATAAAAAAGGCAATTGTACTCAGATACAATTATTGAGAACAAATATTTTATTGAATGAAAATGTTTACAAAGGGGGCTACATCTACATATATTATTTTTGGTAAAAAGCTTATATAGATAATTAACATTCATCTTGTTGATCCTATCCAGAGTTAATTCCAGATATTTTAAAGAACTATTAATAAAAGTTTGACAGTTTTCAGTGTTGAGTACTCTTAAACTGCCTGGTTTAACTTTGAATGTTTTAGGAAATGTCAGCTTCATTGCCTGCTCAAAACATTTGTTAGTTAAAAAAATTATCAAATATAATAAGAGAACTTTGATAAATTAATAAAAAATAGTAAAATGACCTCTGATATTTTAGAACAGGGAAACTAGTATCTTTAGTAGGCCTTTGCAAAACAGTGAATTGTTAGTAATTGACCCTGAAAACAGATTTATTTGACAAATGCCTTTTACGTTGGTTTAATACGTTTTGTGAGGTCATCCATCAATGAGATCGTTTTCTTTTTAAATTGATTGGTCCAAATTTTTCAAAACATGGAATACTAAACTGGTCTTATAATGATGTGAAAGAAGGACAATGTTGACTACCCTGCCAGTGGCAGCAAAGAAAACTTGTCATTAGTGCTTTGTGTTTGATGTGTCAACCCATCATTGTACTCTGCCACAAAATAACACACATGAATAATACAGCATCAAGTGAAGCCTGACCTTCAGCGGCGCTACTGCACGTAACCACGCGATCAGGAAAACAGGGAAAATTGAATCCTGTTAACTTTATAATGTTGTTTCCAAATTAAAACAAAAATCCTTTTGGTTATTGTTCTTTCATCCATTGACCCTCATATAAGTTCATTTGAATACAACAGAGACTGACTTTTTTGTCTGCAAGGGTAACTGTAAACATGGAAACAAATCTAAGTAAAATAATGATGGAACAAACGGTACAGTGGATGAAGATTTCATCACAACATGACAGCCACAACAAGGTGTGTAACGCCCTTACATTGGTGATGAATTGCATGAAAGACATACAGTAGCAGGTGTCGTGTTGCACTGAAGCCTGAAGTTTCAATTGCACACAGTCAGTACCAGCAGGACCGACTGGTCTCACACGTCTGGTTACCCTTCACAGACATAATTGTCTCTTTCTGGTTTAAATGGTTGCATAACAGTCATGTGATTTCACTTTCTAAATGTAACACACAGCTAAAAGAAAGTAACCTGCAGTCAGTGTTTGAAGAAGATCTTTAACATGATCTTAGCCAATGATCAGTATTATCTCCAGAAAGCATATCATGTTTCAAAACCAACTAATCCCTTTGCATTTAGGAAGTGCAAGTACTCTAACTGGAAAAAGAAATGTAATTGTACTGTACGTGGGCATCTGTTTCTCACATTTCTTATGCATCAGAGGGGTGGAGTGAACCGCCTTTCACGCCTCATTGCTATAGAGCACTTGAAAATGACTGACATGTTCCCTGGCCACGTCCCAACCAGGCAACGCCCAAAGCACCTTTACAACACACAGAGGACACACCTTGAAAACTGAACTTTCCGATTTCATTTGTTGTGGTTTGAAAAATTAGCTTTGGACATGAAGCCAAATCTTAAGCATACACTCTCTTTTTCTCGCTCTTACTCTCTGCCAGGACTCATCCACCAGTAAACATTGGTCCATACATGCACATTTTATTGCAGCATTTAAAACACAAGAGGAGGCGTTCCTTCCTCATGTATGAACTGTGATGCATTCATAACGAGTCCTTCTAAAGCCACAAACCACTGAAATGGCAGCATTCCCTGTTGTGTTGTCAGGAATCCTTCTTTCTCTCTTATTCAGGTTACATAAAACAATACATTTCACAAAGCCACAATGTATGACTGTCTGTCTTCCTCCCACGGCAAAGCCCAGGGCAAAGGACAGGCAGAGATAACAGTGTGCAAAATATCATGCTCAGACACGATTTTCATCAATTGTGGCAATATTTGTTATTTGACTTAAGTGTTGTATGTCCCCGATTGTTTCAACAGTTAAAATGCCACCAACTGTATGTGTTCTCTTTCAAGGCAGGTGCTGTTTGTGCCTCCGGGAAGTGCTCAAACTAGACGAGTGAGAAAACATTCTCCCGCACAAAACTGTAAATATGACGCAGACAAGGAGCTGTCAACTGTAGTTTGGGGCAAAGCAATGAATTATAGGACAGGAAGGAATGCCTTCATGCATCAAGCAGGCGTACACGTTCTTGTCACCGTTTTGTGTAGCTAAACATATTACACTGACTCAGCTTCTTAAATAAAGTAATGTCACAACTAAGTCAACTCATTCAAAACTCCCATGGAAGCCTTTCCCCTGTGAGACTCTGTGGGAGTCGCACTGCTGCTTACGTAACAACCCCACCTTGGCTGTGTTAAATTGGATCAGACAGATGCTGTTTCACAATGTCTTTTACCAGACACACAACTGGTTCTCACCACACCGTCATCTCTCAGGTATCTCTTCAGCCCTCACCTCTTAAAGCTGAGTAAGACCTGAAACCCAATCCCACAGTGGAAGGCTTTTACCTGGCTCTGCTATCAGGGAAACTCATGAAAGCAGGGCTTGTTTGAGCCTGTTACACATGAACCCTTTCTCGTGTGAGGGTATGAGGCATAAACACTGTAAGATCAAATGTGAGGATTCAGATGCAGGTTCTACCACTACGGACATGCAGAGGAGCCGAATAGACAAATTCCAGACAAATAGTGCTGACGGGAAGCAATGAACAAACATGCGCATGAACACACACACACACCCAGATCAGTGAAGCTTTTACTTTCAAGAGTGTGTACACTCTTGAAAGTAAAAGCTACTACTACTACTTTGTTTTCTGTCATGTTTGTATTCATGTTTGGAACTAATTGAAGCAGGTCACCATTGTAAAAGAGGTCTATGATCTCAATGGGCTTTATCTGTATAAATAAAGGTTTTGAATTGAAATTGAATTGAATTGACTTCACTGATCTGAGTCACCAATCTAGGAACATTATACAATCTTATCCACAAAAGATAAATTATTAACTATTTTCTACATTAAAACAATAAATATATTCATCTATTTGTCATCCAATAGGTCATTTATTGTCCCCTCATTTTTAAATGTATATATTTCTTATATTTCTTTTCCAGCAACTTAACTGAACCAACTGATTTACCCATTAATAATCCATTTGTATAGCAAATATTTAGTGGAATAACAACAAAATGAATAAAGTACTTTGCTTTCACCATCAATTGATACTGTATGTGGGTGTGCTGTGTGACTAAAAAACAGAGATTGGACCTTACACTGTAGGGGTTTAACATTTTTAAAACACAGCAATATGTTGGGATGTCCAGTGTCTATTTCAGTAGTTTGGAGTAAGGCTAAAGGAAACAAAACACGTCTGACGGATCAGATAAGAACTTCCATTTCTCGTCTGTAACACAGTTAAGAGGTCAGTTTTTAGGGTTTTAGTGTCAGACCCATGCACCTGTTTTTGTTCCTGAGAGGACACAGAGGTGTTTGAACTTTGCCAGTCCCTTGCACAGGTCATTCCTGTGCTCTGTACACGGAAATAAGCAACTGTCATCACGCAGAAGGTGGAGACACTTGTTAAAAACAACGAAAAACACTTGTTGGTGTTTACCTGACATGGCGTAGTGTGAAGTTGATCCATTTTGACGCGGAAGTGTGGACTTCTCCGCCAGTCTCATCTGGACCTGCTGCTGCACGCGTCGCGCTCGGGTCATCTCGTCCGACATCGTGCCCCCGTTTCCCAGGTGGATCTCCGACGGGAGCCCATAGGTGGTGACCGAGGTGTTGGGCTGTAAGGCGGACAAAAACACACTCTCAGAGCCCACGATACTCATGGTGAAAAGTTAAAAGACGCGCGTAGGGCGTCCTGGTAGAAACAGTCCGTGCTGCGGAGGTTGTTTGTGCAGCTGAAAGTGTGAGAGGGGCGCAGAGAGAGCAAGGCGATCAGAGGGAGTAGAGCTGCCCATCAGGGGGAGGAGCCTCGGGGCAGCACTACCTGCACAGGTGCTCTTCTTCTTCACTTTTATGGGACGTCACGTTACATTACTGCCTCCCTCTGGACGGTGTCCCTCTCAATATTCAGCAGCTTACATCAAACCAAATCGCCATTATCTTCCTGTCCTCCTCACTGACTCTACTCTCTAATATACTTTCGACTGGCCTCTACTTGACCTGGTGACCTCAATCACACATAGGCATATGCTGCTAGTTGAGTCACATTCTTCCCGCACACTGTTTAACAAATACTCAGTTTAGCATGTTCAGTTATGGTTGACGAATGCTTAAGAAAGCAGTACTGGATTTTTATTTCATTTGAATTACATTACTTTTTCTTTTTATTAGAAAATAACTGAAACCGGCATGAATCAATTTCTGGGGGGGAAAAAACAAAAAAAAGTTCTTATAACAATAATATAAATATGAATATGAAAAAAAAACAATAATACATTTTAGTGTTACATTATTAGATTTGTTTCATTTTAACTTTATTGTTTAAAGGTTAAATACATTGCAATCATGTATTTAATAAATACAAGTAAAACAAAGGTCCATCTTGTAACACAGTGAAACAGGAAGTGTCAGTGAGGATGAACCAGGTCAAACAGCTGTGAATAGACCTGCCTGTGTCAGCTCTCTGTGACTGTGGTCAGTGAAGTCATATCCAAATGAATGACATGTGAATTGTGACTAATTCATTCACACTATGATGCCACATGTCATCCAGTGTGACAGCACTGTTATTAACAGTGGTGCATAGCAACACAGTTATTTTACTCAAGCACTGTACCAAGATATATTTTAAGGTACTATTTTCATTTGATGCCATTTGATATTTCTACTTCTAATGTTGAATTTCAAAACGCTCGTTTTTTTTTTCTTCATTTTTTCACTCCACTGCATTAGTTACTAGCTCCCAGTCATATATGGAGTTGTAACATTGGTGGTTCCTCCACATTATGCCTACATTTTCTTTATTTAATCATAGAAAGTGTTTTATTCTGTAATGGGCCATTCTTGTTAATGCGTAATTTTGCTACTTCAGTAATATTACAATACTTTTACTTAAGTCACTTTTGGAATGTGGGAATATAACTTGTAACAGAGTATTTCTACACAGTAGTATTGCTGCTTTGACTAACGTAAAATATATATGAGCAGGCTACTTTTCCTTCCAACGACTTTTTAGTTTTTCAAACATTGTTTCATTTATTGGTATATTTTGGGAATTAAAGATATTCCTCAGGTTTTTTTTAAACTGCAAAAGTTAAGTTCCGACATTTGTACCCTATGCCTCAGTGTTCAGAGTTGAAAAGCTTTCGGCTCTCAGTAATTAGATAGATTTATCTGTGACGTTTTCACAAACTGGCCTGAGATTGAGTTCAATCTTGCAAATGACGTTGAGTGTGAATGGAGGACTGTTACCAGGTGTGGTGCAGTCTCACTCGATTATTAAGGTGGAGCCACACCTAGTTTTATCTGGTTTGTTTTATATGAGTCATCACAGCCGTTATGAAAGCAACATGAAGCGTGGGAGTAAAACATGATACATGCCGAATGTCTGCAGTCAAGCACCTATCAAGATACAGACTATATGAAAAAGTCACTGTTGGACAGAGATGGGAGAAGTACTCAGATCTTGTACTTAAGTAAAAGTAGAAGGTAAGGTAAGGTACGTTTATTTATATAGCACATTTCAGACGCAGAGGCAATTCAAAGTGCTTTACATGTTCATTAACAGATAATAGTAAGACAACAGAGAGGAACACAATAAATAAACATAATGGAATAACAGATTCATAAAAACAATGCATTAATGAGATACAAAATAGTTTAAAAACGACATTGTAGATACGGTAAGTGCTAAAACAAGTTAAAAGGCTTCTGGGTAAGCAGCTCTAAAAAGTAGTGTTTTTAGCCTCGACTTAAAAGAACTCAGCGTTAGTGAAGACCTCAGGTTTTCTGGAAGTTTGTTCCATTTGTGGGGAGCATAAAAACTAAAAGCAGCTTCGGCGTGTTTGGTTCTGAGCCGGGGAACAATGAGTAAAAAATTAGTAAAAAATAAATACCAGAGTGTAGGAATACTCAGTTACGAGTAAAAGTCCTGCATTCAAAATGTTGCTCAAGTAAAAGTACAAAAGCATTAGCATCAAATTAAACTTAAGTAACTCAAGTAAAAGTACTCATTATGCAGAATGGCCCATTTCAGAATAATATATATTATATGTTTTGATTATAATTATTGATCAATAAAGTGTTTATCAAAGCTGGTAAAGGTGTAGCTAGTTTTAACGACTTTGTATACGGCAGGGTAGATTGTGAATTTCCTCCAGGTGTAACTAAAGTCTTATTTAAGAGTTGATTATATTTCACATCATAAATCCAAACCTGCAAAGTAACTAAAGCTTTAAGATAAATGTATTGGAGTAAAAGTAAACGATTGACCTGTGATTTGTAGTGGAGTAGAAGAACAAAGTAGCCAAACATTGAAATACTCAAGTAAAGTACAAGTACCTTAAAAGTGTACTTAAGTACAGTACTTGAGTAAATGTACTTAGTTACTTTACACCTCTGCTGTTGGACCAGTTAAAACATCTGTAATTGAATTCATAATACACATCAATGCTCTTGTTGCCCTTCTTCATGACTGCCTTTCTTTGTTTAGGTGCAGCTAAGGAGAAAATGTTAAACTGCAACCTCTCTGAACCTTTCCCTCGAGGGTAGAAGAGGATTTCATTTCCCCAAAGCAGATCAAAGTTGTTTACACTGGATTGGATGAAGAAGGAGATGTATAGAAGATTCCTTACTATGCCTATCATTTCAATTATAATCCTCATTTACCCAAAAAAATCATCACCTTTCTTGTTTTGACTAATTTCTTCATACTCTTTCCAGAGTCTGACTTCACCCTCATGTATAATGTTTGTTGATGGAAACAATCAGTCAGCGGAAAAAGGAGAACTCACAGCTTCACACGCAGACGCCTAATGTCTCATTGAGTTTGAGATGGTGACAAATGTTCTTAGTTTGTAGTTGATACTTAGTACTTTAGATTTAATTAATTTGGTACACTTTTTTAAAAAATCACAGATTTTGACTTACCATAACCATTGTGTTGATTGAAGATGCTCTCCTCTCTGGTGAAGTGTTCCTTCTTGTCTCACCGAAAGATCTGATATGGTGGGATTAATAGAAAGTATTAAAAGTAATACTCAAAGTCACCGCCCTGAAATGTACTATCCTCCTCTCCATCCCAGGTAAATGTAGAGCGTGCACAAGACAAAGAGATGAGTCAACGGAGAGCATGTCACCGCAGGGTGTGTACAGAGGAGGGATGCACAAAATTGATGGTGTCTGATTCAACATCAGTGCTGATTTTTTTAGGATGTTGCAACATATCATTTGTGACTCGCGTGTGTGCGTCAAAGAAAGTGATTTCATCGGAGAGAGAGAGTGACACCCTGATTCTAACTGTCGCATGCGTCAGGATCCAACTGTCTGTCTGACTGATTTACTTGGTAATCTTCGAAACCATGTGGATACTCAAAAATTAGAAAAACCTAAAAAGAACAACGTGTCAAGTAGCGTTTAGAAATCTTCACCCAATACATAGGAGACTCTCACAGAGGTTTAAAGAAGACATATCTGCAAATATGGCAGCAGATATAGAAGGATTATGAGACAATGTGCACAGGGCTCAACTCGATGACTGACCATGAAGTGTCAATATTATATTAAAAAAGGAACTATTTTGTGTTTTTATATGTTGTTCAGGCAATACACAAACACATATGTATTTCTCTTGTTTGCCAAAAGTATGTTACCCTACATGGAGCTGTCACAGTATGCTTTTTGTAGCTCCAACATTAAATTAATATGTACAATAAAATGTCAATAAAATAATAATAATTATTATTATTATTAACAACATATTATTATTATCATTATGCATGGGGATTACTTGATGCTAGTTTGTATTGAATTGAAGCAATTGTTTGCATATTGATCTTGTGTTTTACATAAAATTGTGATTTTTCCTCTTCCTGCACTTTTTTTAATTTGTTATCTGTTTTGTTTGTGTATTATTAAATTGTGTGCAAAACCAACACAATAATAAATCCAGGTAACATTTGGATTTAAGGACTTTTATTTGTAACACATTATTTTTAAACTGTCATTTTGCTTCTTTTACTGAAGAAATGTTCTCAATCCTTCTTCATACACCGGTATTAAGTCTAGCCTGGAAGATAACGAGGAAACGAGAGTTCAGCTTTTGTGTATTGTGTGTTAATGTACTTTAATTCTGGGTAATATCTTCAGCACCTGAGAGCTGTGTGACCTCTGATGAGAAAGTGAACCTGTGAGCAAAACAAACACTGAGTGTGCTGCCGGGTGTGTCCGATGCCACAAGACCAGAAATACAAGTCTGTTGAGTGTTTATTCAAATGTGCTGCTGGGAGAAATGTTGTGCTGATTGAGCAAGAAGGGCGTTGATATGACACTCACTGCCCCCCTGTGGTGACACACGGCAAAATACTCAAGGCCTTTGTGAAGGTTTAAAGGGCCCTATTATGCTCTTTCGGGTTGTCCCTATCTTCTGCAATGAAAATGAAAATGCCCCTTTAAATCAGTGAACTATCAGTTCTATGTGAAAACACTGAGATCAGTTTATTTAAGACAATATCACAGTGTAGAAACACTGATTTTAAGATTTGTATTACTATGATAATAAATTATTTTAAGATTTGTATTACTATGATAATAAATTATCATTACACCTGGGTAAAACAGAGTCCATTCTCTTCGGTTCGAAACATAATCTCAGCAAATCCGATGACTTCTCAGTTGCAGTGGGTGACATTATTGTCACAAGTAAGAAGGAAATTACATACCTAGGATCTATTCTTGAGGCAAACCTCTCCTGTGACAAAATGGCATCCAATGTAATAAAAAAAGTCAATCAAAGAACTAGATTCCTATACCG